GTGTGTGTGTGTGGGGGGGATGTAGCGATTCGGGCGCAGAGGGAGAGTGCTAAAGGCATGGGGCTAGGGAGGGCGGAGATCGTGGGAGAGAGAGGGGAGCGGTGGGACGCGCGCCTACCGCCTCCTTGAGCCGGAGGCGCAATCTCGGCGCATCTCTCGGCGCATCTCGTCTCGACATCTCGTCGGCTCCTCCCGCGCCTCCCTTCACCGATCCGGCGCGCTGCAGCCTGCGCTGCATGCGCGCCTTGTACGATGCGTAGTCCTCGTCCTCTGGCGCGTAGCCCAGAGGCGCGTCCCAGCCCGCCTCCCCCCCCTCCTCGAGCCGCCCCTCCTCCTCTCGCTCGTCCAGCCTCCGGATGGCCGGCGGCTCGGGCGCCATCTTCGGCGGGAAGGGCGGCTTGGGGGCCATCCCCGGCGGGAAGGGGGGAGGCGCAAGTTCGTCCGCGTCGGTGAGGCGGCACTCCCTACGCGGCACGTGGAGACGGCGCCTCGGAGGGGGGTGGCCATCGCCTCGAAGGAGGACGAGAGCGGTGCCGCGCGGAGGAGAGAGGAGGTGTGTCGGGGGGGCTGGAGTAGAGTGCTGCTGCCCGGGGAGTCGCACTTGCTGACGTGGAGTCCGCGCGGGATGGTGCCGCTGAAGTTGTTCTCGTCGAGCTCGAGCTTCTGCGCGGCGCGGGGGAGGAGGGGAGAGGAGGGGGAGAGGGGGGGGGGTGTCGAGTCCCAGTAGTGTGTCGGAGTAGGTTGGGGGACGGCCTCCTCCGCGCCCGGTGCATCTCTCTGTCTCGCGGCGACGTGCGCTCACCTTGACAGCATCGAGGAGTGCCATGGAGGCCGGCAGGCTGCCCGAGATGCGGTTCTTCTTGATGCGAATCTCCTGCGGGCGGCGGCGGGGGAATCCGGTTCTTCCTGGCGATCTGGCTCCCGACGGCCTGCCCTGAGACCTCTAGACCCTCCCCTCTCTCCTTCTCTCCTCTCGAGGCGATCAGCCTCCCCGCCGCTCCCCCACCACCACCACCACCACCACTACTAGCCGGCGCCTGCAGCTTTGTGGCCCCGCCGATCTCGGGGGGGATTGTGCCCGAGTAGCCCCGACACTTTTGCTTCTTATGATACATTCTTGTCGGAGGGTCCCCGAGGACGTACTTTGGCTGCGCGTTTGGGTTCCGGGCCCGCGCCGGGTTCACGACCCAGTTGTCACCCATCACCCGAATCCATTTGCAGTTGTCACTGTCCCGAATGTCAATCTCCTGTGAGAGTGAGAGGGAGGGGAAGGGGGGGAAGGGGGGGAAGGGGGGTGGGGGGGGGGGAAGGGGTGTGGGGGGGGGCGGGGGGGGCGTGGCGGCGCTGCGCCACAGCAGCGAAGACTGGGGTGTGAGCGGGCGGCGGAGGGAGAGCGCGCGCACGCGGCGGTGGAGAGGGAGAGGGATGCGTGAGAGGCGGCTCGAGCCGCCTTGAGCTGCGTTGCCATCCCGATGGTGGGAGGGATGGTGCCCGAGATGCCGGCGTGGTATGCCTCGAACTTCTTGAGGGTGCCGGAGACGAAGAGGGTGGGGGGGAGCGTCCCCGTGATGTCAGTCTGCGAGATGTCGATCTGCGCGAGCACAGGCGGAGGTGTGAGGGTGAGCTCACGTGGCGGAGGCGGAGGGCAGGGGGAGGGGAGGGGAGGCTTCGAGGGAAGGTGCGGATCGCCTCTTCGATGACAGAGTCGCTGGAGAAGAGGGTGTCCGGCAGCGTGCCCGTGATGTCGCAGTTCCTCACGTCAATCTCCTCCAGGGCTGTCAGAAGGGCGAGCTGCGGCGGGATAGTCCCCTTGAGTTTCGGGATAAATTTGAACTTGATCTCGTCGATCAAGCCACGTTTGCACGAGATCCACTCCTTATCGCAGCACTTGATGTTGGGGTCGAGCCAGGTTTCCCCCACTTTTGCCCCGGTGCTGCTCTTCCACTCGGGTCCGCTCATCGCGTCGTAGCAGGCCTTCAGCGTCGGGTAGCACTCTCTATCGCCCACCCGCCACGCCAGCGGCGTAGAGGGCGGACCCGGGGGAGGCGGTGGAGGCGGCGGAGGAGGAGGCGGTGACGGCGGCAAGGGCGGCGGCGTTGGCGGCGGCTTATCCTGCGCTGTCGGGCCGATCGTCAGCAGAGCGAACATCGTTCACGAGACGCTGCGTGAGTTGTAGGCCCCCCTCGCCCTATGGCCCAAATCCACCACTGTCAGAGCGGTGTTTCGATACCGAAATCGTTGGACGCTGTTCACACAAAAACACAACCCCGGACCCAAGACGCACAAGCTCAGACAGTCGAGAAAGGGATAGACCGCAACGACAGTCAGAAGTTTTTATTCAGCCCCTTGGAGTGTGAAAGGCTTCGTAGCCCTCCGGTCTACTGAAGATCCGCAGGACTGGAGCGAAAAAAAAGCAAAATAAATAAATAAAACGGACACCTCTACTAGGAGATGGGTAAAAAGGAACAGGTCCCCGCCCTTGCGATCTTTGTGCAGGGTTCTTTGTGGGTGTGGTCGGCCACTAGCCAGGGTCGTCCTCCCGAATGGGGGACTAGCACTAGCCGTCTTCCACATGGTCCCTCGGGTCCCTGCTACTCCTAATCTCTTCGTACATCCTCCTGCTGATCTCCGCAACGTCCTGCTCCCTCCCTCGTCTCGCTCTGCGCGTCTGCTCCGCCTCACCGTCTTCTGCCCTCGTTTGAGCGCGGAGGCTCAGAGCCGGAGGGTGGCTGGCTCATGTAGGACTGTAAAGGACCAGAAAGGCACGACGTCTAGGACATCGCGACAGACAAGACGCGCCGACTAAGGGACGTCCACGTGACACGATTGTGGCACAGAGGGTGTGATGCTGGAGTATCGACATTGGGGGCACGGCGCGGGATGCGCCGTGCTAGTACACTGTGTGTAGTGTGTAGTGTGTGGAGGGTGGCACAGGCGTCCGAATTCAGACGCCCCCCCCAGGACCGATGCTGAAGGCGTCGGGGCTGTATTGAACTGAAGGCAGCGACTGTGCGCACCAGGAAGAGCAGCAGCTACTGTAGCGCGAAGTAGTCGACAATTCGGCAAGAGGAATCACTCGTTGTTCACAGCCGAACGTTCCTTCTTGATGTTCGTGATCGCGTCGGCTCGCGCATCTCGAAGTAGCGCGGCGACAGCAGCGGCTTCGAGAGGAAGTCGGCGAGGTTGTCGGCCGTCTTGACGAGGGGGACGGTGATCTCGAACGACTCGACGGCGTCGCGTACGTAAAAGTGGCGGCGCAGGACGTGCTTGGACCGCGCGTGGTGCTCGGGGTTGTACCGTAGATCGCGACGCCTGTGCGGGCAAGGCCGAAGGCGGCACGAGGAGGGAGTAGTTGACATTCGAGAGTCGCCCTTGACGGAGGCGAGGCGCGGGGAGTAGTTGACGGATCGCTCGAGTACGGCGGAGGCGGCACGAGAGCACGTCCGCTCGGAGTCGAGGTTGGCGCAGGCGTCTCGAGCACTGGCGAGAAGAGCGCCGCCCGTGCGAGGCGAGGCATCACGCTCGAAGACGAAGGCGAGACTCGGGTCCTCGACGGTACAGCTGACGGCGACGGCGCTGATGTAGCAAATTCTGAAAAGCTTCCACCAGAGCTTGCGCGTGGCGGCGGCGGCTGGCGCCTTGGTTTGGGCGGCTGTGACTGGCGCCTCGGCCTCCGGTTGGGCAGAGGCCTCAGCTGGTTGGTTGGCCTTGTGGGCGGCGGCCTCGGCTGTCGCCTCGGCTCCACCTTGGGTAGTGGCCTCGGCTGTCGCCTCGGCCTCTTGTGTGATAGCCTCGGCTGGCGCCTCGGCAGCCAGGTCGGGGGCTGCGCCCCCTTCCCCCGGGCCCCCCCACGGTCGGCGCCCCGGAGGAGAGGTCCGACAGGAGGCGTCGGCGTCGGCCCGCAGCCGATGGCAGGATGAAGGACGCAAGGGGCAGCAGACGGCAACGGAGTCGGGCGGCGACCGGTAGACTCGACCGAAGCACACCCCCCCAACACGAGATGGTCCGCATCGCCCGCACCTTTGTTTTGGGCTGGGGCAGGGTGGGAGATTTGAATTTGAAGTTGAATTTGAAGTTGAGTTGCGCCGTGTCTCGGCGCCGGCGATGAAGTTGTTGATGGACGGACCTGTGAGGACGGTTGTAAACCATCCACCGGTCTGCCTTCCGGGAGCGCCTGGCGGCCGTCCTGGAGGCTGTGCCGACGCAGAGGAGCTGGTGAGCGCAAAATGGCAGGCGCCGTTGATGGAGATCATGTCTGGAAGCTGCTCTGCGGGGACTGGCACTGGTGTTGGTCCAGAAACAGCGATGGCGAGGGTGACGGTGAGCAGGATGGTGAAAACGCAGTAGACTCCGGAGCCGAAGGCGACGCGAGTCATAGCGCGAGCCACGCAGGCCGCAGAGAGAGCGCAAGCGGCGGTGAACCGCTCGCGAGCGCACACAACGAGCCGGCGGGCGGCAGTGAGAAAGTAGTGGACAAAGTCGACGGTGACGACAAAGATGGAGGTGGCGATGGAGAGGGCGAGCTGGATGATGGGCGGCGCTGAGCCGAAGATGGCGCGGGCGCAGGGGCGCAGGCCGGAGACGGCGCGGGCGCGAGGGCGCAGGCCGAGGTTGTCGTCGAGAGTGACGGGATCGCCAGAGTAGTCGGTGATCAGATTGGTCATTTCGCTGCTGGGCGTGGCGGAGATGTCCGCCATGACCTCGGGGGTGGAGTGCACCTCACCGTAAGGTACCACGTTTGAGCGCGGAGGCTCAGAGCCGGAGGGTGGCTGGCTCATGTAGGACTGTAAAGGACCAGAAAGGCACGACGTCTAGGACATCGCGACAGACAAGACGCGCCGACTACCCGTAAGGGACGTCCACGTGACACGATTGTGGCACAGAGGGTGTGATGCTGGAGTATCGACATTGGGGGCACGGCGCGGGATGCGCCGTGCTAGTACACTGTGTGTAGTGTGTAGTGTGTGGAGGGTGGCACAGGCGTCCGAATTCAGACGGCCCTGCGTCGTCTGGCGACGGGTCCTCCATAGTCGGTCGAGGTCGCCGCCCCGCCCGTCGCCGCCTCGGCCACGACTTGCAAGTTCCTCGTGACCCCGGCGCCAAGGTCCCTCCGGCTCTTCTCCGAGAGATCATCTACCAGCGCCGGCAACACCCCCCCGACGGCTGGGGCTAGTGCATCGTACCCGTCCTCACACCCGTGCCCCCCCCCCCCCCCCCGGCCACAGGCCCCCGCCGCCGAGGCGTACGCCCAGTGCTTCCTCGGTGCCGCCGGCGACGCGGCGACGCGCGCCCTCATGTCCGAGCTCGCCGCGGGCGACACCGTGCTCTCCGACGCGGACACCGCCGCGCGCGTCGTCGTCAACCAGCACAAGGTCGAGGACGGCAAGGCCTCGCTCCTCATCACGCTCACGCACGCGCGCGGCTCGCTCGCGCTCACGCCCGACCACGTGCTCGAGCTCGACGGCAAGTTCATGCCTGCGCGCGAGGCGCACGTCGGCGCGGCCCTCTCCAACGGCGCGGTCATCGAGGCCATCTCGCACTCGCGCGGCGGCATCATCAACCCCATCACCGTCACCGGCAAGATCCTCGCGGCGGCCGCCACCGGCGAGCCCGTGGTCGCGGCGACGGGCAACGAGTGGCTCGCCGACGTGATGCTCTCGGCCTACCCGAAGTACACCCTCTCGTACACGCTCGCGGCCGCCTTCCCCGCCGCGGTGCAGGCCTACTACGACGGCGCGCTCGAGCCGCTCTTCACCGCGGCCGTCCCGCACCTCACCAAGATCAAGGCCGCCGCGCCGGCGCCGCTCGTCGGCGTCATTCTCGTGGCGGGCGACGCGGCGCTCGCCACCGGCTTCGCCGCCTACTCGCTCGGCCTCAAGGGCGTCGCCACCCTCGCCGTGATCGCCGTGGCGGCCGCGCGCAAGGGCAAGAAGCCGTGAGGCGCGCGCGGCCTGGCCGTCGGAGGTTTGTAGCCGCTGGGCGGCGCAATAGTTGCCTCCACGTATCGGAGAGAGGAGAGAGGTGCAAGGGGCGTGCTCGTTCTGGTAGTCCGCCTGCCTCCAGCATGTCGTATCGGAGAGGAGAGAGGTGCAAGGGGCGTGCGCTCGTTCTGGTAGTCCGCCTGCCTCCAGCATGTCGGATCGGTCGGAGAGGAGAGGGGTGCAAGGGGCGTGCTCGTTCTGGTAGTCCGCCTGCCTCTGAGCCTGACGGCGCGATCTGGTCGTTTTGTACATCGTATGTAAATGGTGAGTGCCACTGAGCACTGTCTGTATTGTGTCGAGATAGAGTTTGTAGCAACACAAAAAACATATAGAACGCCACTCCCGCACTCGCCAGTACCCAAACGAGGAATGGATGGGAAGGAGCTGGAGGACAGGGTCGCCACCTGCACGAGCAGGATTTTGGAAGGACGATCAGGGGCACAGGGGGTTCTCCTGCTCCTGGTAAGGGACACGACAGCCCCCTAGCAGCAGAGCGCACTGGACCAGCGCTCCCGCCTCTTCGCCGCCGCCCCCCTCTCCCCCCTCGGCTCGTGTTTGAGCGGTACGCTCGAGGCGGTTGTGTTCACCGCGCCTTCGAGCCCAATACACCTTCGTCGTGTCGAGTGCTGGCGTTTTACTAAAGACTTGTGACCATGTGAGTCTATCTTGTACTTATGTACTACCACACTAAAAGCCGTATAGTGAGCCACTCACTCGGGCGTCTCGGCTGACGATGATCGATCTCCCTAGCCTATCGGTCCCCCGCTCGATCCTCGGATCGCTCGCTCGTCGAAATCGATCGACTGAAGTCATCAAGGTGCGGCCGCCTTTTCTTTTTCGCACTCCGCACACGCCCGTCGCCCGGCAAAACTGCTTCAGGTCCGCCGCGACGTGTCGCGCCGTCGCCGCAATGGCGGGCAGCGACGTGATGGAAGCCATGCAGCTCGCCCTCAAGCCATTTCATATGCAGCACCTTGCCGACGACTGGGCGGCGCAAGCCGGCGAAAAAAATTCGCTCCAGCTGTCTGTATAAAGCCGTACAGAGCTGCCACTTGCCAGCACCCCCCAGCACCATAGCTCTGCTGCTGGGGGGGGGGGTCCCGGCCCCCCCAGCACCAGAGCTCTGCTGCTAGGGGGGGGGTCCCGACCCCCCCAGCACCCAGAGCTCTGCTGCTAGGGGGTGTGGACCCTGAGTTGACCAGGGGTTGTGCGCTGGGCCCTCCTGCTCGGCTCCAGCCAGTAGACAAGTCTTGTCACTAACAGAGTAGAAGGATCTGACCTCGGGGCCGATGTGACCAAGCGCTGGTAGCGTGGTTTTACCTCACACCCACGGTCTCACAGTGTGCCGGCAGTCGCCGAGCAGTGTCGCTCACACAAGCCGCAGCACAAGTGACTGAGGGCCAGTGAGGGCGAGCCCATCGCTGTCACAGCTGTGGTAGCCGCACAGTAGGCTGTGTCAACTGTGCAGAGCGTGTGAGCAGCCGAGGAGCTGCTCTCCAGGCTTCTGACGCAAAGAGCTGCATGCCATCGAAGGCGCTGTCGAGGTTCGCCGAGCGCGGCGCAGGTTGGAGGACACCGTCACCGACGAGCGCGTTGGAGTATTCACTCCGGACAAAGACGGCTACACGCACATGAGCCGCGGTCGTGTAGCCGTCTTAACGGCGAGGCGCGGGACCGTCTGTGGCGAAGTGGGTCGCGTCCTCCCGATTTCCTCAACTTACGGTCCGCTCCCTCCACTCGCGCCGAAGGGAGTGTTGAGCCGATTCTGTGATTGCGGCTGCGTGGTTGGTCGGCGGCCGTCGCGTTCGGTCGTCCCGTGCCGGCCTCGGCGTCGCGGCCCTCGCACACCCTGGGTTCGTCCGAATTCGAATCGCCGTTGTGGAGTACGGGCGCGGCAAAGTCGGCGCCTCGACAGCGCCTCGACGGCGGCCGCAAAAGCCGTCTCCTGCACGTCGCCGCGCGGCCTCGAGGCGCCGCGAGCGTGCGCTGAGGTCAGCACGACTCGCTCCGGCCCGAGACGGCCGACGCGCGCGCTCTCGCTCCCACCTCTCCATCCCGACGCTCCGCGCTCGCTGTGTCGCCCGCGATCGCGGCATAACCACCGAGCCGCAGCGCGGCGCTCGGCCCGCGCCGCCGTCTCACGAGCTCGTCTCTCGCCCGCCGCGCAGGCGAAAACCAACTCCGTCCTCAAGGGCAAGCTCGAACGACTCCCGTCACTGTACCCCTCGTGCCACGCTGCAGCCGCCGCTCTCGTCTCTCCTCTGTCGCTTCGCCGCGGTCGCGGCCGCACGGAGGTGCCACGGGCCGTGCGAGTGATACTCCGCTGCGTGCTGTCCGGCTCCATATACTGCGACTGGTGCGCCGCGGATGTTTGAGAGTGCGGTTTAAAAAGGTCCTGCCCCGCGCCTCCGCGGCGCGGCACAGAGGCACTGGAGGCAAACTGCGGGCGAATAAATATTTTTGAAGGGATGAACGCGAGCTCGCGGGGTCCACACGAAAGCACCGCTTGGCGGTGTCAGAACCGCCCTCTTGGACCCGGGTGGGCCGAATCTGCGCCCTCTGGGCCCCGGCGGCGGTCCCGGAGAGGGCCAGCACGCGGGCTCCGCCGACGATCTCGCAACGCGGGTCGCGCCGCGCGCCTCCCGAACGAAGCGTGTTGGTGCGCGATGGCGATCCTCGCCTGCGGGGAGCGGAGCACACGCGTCGGATGGCGAGGGCAGCACAAATATTGCACTCACGTCCCAGTATGGCAGCAGCCGGACGGGTTGGGTGGCGTGAGGACAGGGGGTGGTGAGGATGATTCCACAGATCTCGCTGAAAATGGCCGTGTCCTTCCCGGGGGAGGCAGGCGAGCGCACACCTCGCGTCCGAGCGCGAGTCGACGAGTGGTCGCCGAGAGATCGCCGAACCACGTTTCGAGTGCGCGCGCCGCGCACACAGCACAGCTGCGGGTTGTAACTCGACTGCCGATCGCGCGCGCGGGATTTGAATGGAGCTCGCTGGCGCCAGTGCACGGCAGCACCGCCTAGTATCTCGGCCGGAACGAACGAGCAGTCCCCAATCGACACGTTGAGGACGCTGGGCTGGATCTGTTGAACTGCCACAGCGGGCGGAGGCGCGGGTGCCAGAGGAGGGTGACGGCCGGCGGCGGCGTACGGCGGCGAGTCGGAGGCGAGGGGGTGGCCCTGCCGCGCGACACCGGCGCCCCGTCGGGACCCACGCTGGAGCAGCTTCGGCGTCTGGCGGGGCTGCTGCGGCGGGCGGGACTGCGGCGGCGTACTGGGGCGCGAAGCGGCAAGGTTGGGCGGCGGCGACGGCGCGGCCGGCGATCGGCTCGAGGCGGTCGATCTGCCCGGTGACTGGGTCTCCTCTCCGCTACCCGCGGCCGGGGCGAGCCCGCCCTGGGGGCCCGCGTGCGTGCCCGCTGTCGTCGCCATTTTCTGTCGATTGCGGCGGCGCCGTACGCCTCAACGAGCGGGTCGCCGAGCGCGCCGCGCGGCTCTGGGCGTGCCGCGTCGACCCTCTCGAGCGATCGGGCCGCCTCCGGGCGCGGCGCGTCGAACGGCGCGGCCGTCAGCGAGGAATCGGCTCAACACTCCTGGGCTGGGATTCGGCGCGGGTGGCTGGGGGCGGGTCCCGACCCCCCCAGCACCAGAGCTCTGCTGCTGGGGGGGGGCGGGGGGTCGGCCATGACTTTAGATGTGCAGGGGGGGGTACCGAGCAGTGTGGTGTGTGCGGCCGCTCTAGAGATCGTAGTGACACAAAATAAATAAAAAAGGAAAAGCTCAAGCTCGAGGCAAACGCGCGGCGTCTCACGTGAACCTCGCCGGGCTGAAGGGGCGGATGTCGACCGAAGTGGCCTCGCCATCCAGCATGAGCTCCGCGACGCCGAGTCCGATGGCGGGGCCCATCAGGATGCCCCAGCAGCCGCCTCCGGTCGCGACAAAGGCGCCGGGCGTGCCCGGCACCGCGCCGAGCATCGGCAGCCCGTCGGGCGCGAAGGGGAGATGGCAGGCCGACTCGAGCTCGACGGGCGCCTGAGCCAGCTCCAGGGGGGAAGGGTCAGGGAGGGCTCGGGAGGGTTCGGGAGATTGGGCGAAGGCTCGACCTGGGCCAGCTCGGTCGACACCTCGCCCATCGTCGACGCGAGACGCCGTGTCACCTCGCGCCGCACCTCCACCTCGCCCGGCGCCTCGCACACCGGGGCCATCGGGTCGGGGAAGCCAGTCACGTAGACACTCCCGTCCGGGCGAGGGTACACCTCGGCATCGCCTCGTCCCTGGAAAAAGACGGCCTGTGGGCAACCAAGTGCGATCAGCGTAAGACAAAGGCGTGTGCACTCGCTCCCAGAGGTTGGCCCGCCTGGGAGAGGGTGCGAGAAGGCCGCATCAGGATGGAGTGGTACTTGACACCGCTCGCGCGCGGAAGGCCGAGCCACGCCGGTGACCACGGGCCGAGCGCGAGCAGGACCGAGGCGGCGGACAGCTCCTGGCCATCACTCAACCGCACGCCCGAGACAGCGCCGCCCTCCCCCTCGGTGAGCACGCCAACGACACTCCCTAGCCTACAGGAGAAGGCTCTCCTTGTGAGGCTTCCGAGAAGGCCTCGGCCAGCACGCCAACGGCGCTGCCACGCCGGAAGCTCGAGCCCGCAAGCCGCTGCGCCTCGGACCAGAGCCGATCGACGAGCTTCTTCGGGTGCACCTGCGCGATGGTCGACTCGTCGCCCATCGAGCGCGGTGCGCCCATCACTCCGAGGTCGGCCCACTGCACGCCCGCCACCTTTCGCTGCCGGAGGCCTCCTCCGCCGCTGACTGCGACCGCCTCGCACGTCAGCCGCCGGTAGTCGACCGAGGCCTCGCCAAAGCTCTGCGCGAGCTCCTCGTGCAGCGCAAACGAGCGCCGCGCGAGTGTGCCGGTGGGCGAGCCGTCGTTCCAGTCGAGGGCAAGAAAGCCTCCGGCGCGGCCTGAGGCGGCGGAGGCGACGCCGACCGGGTCTACAAGAATAGTCGACACGCCGCGCTTTGCGAGAAAGTATGACGTGGCGACGCCGCAGATGCCGCCGCCGCAGACAGCGACTTTGCTGGAGCACATTGTGCAGTGCGAGGCGACACTTGCGGCGACAGCTGGACCCTGTGTGACTGTCTCCGTGGGCTAACCTCGGAATGCTGGGCACCGCTTGCGGCGCCTGGCAGGGGCACCCCCTGGGTGGGGCCGGCGGCCCTCCGCACAACCCCCGCCGGGAGGGAATCCCTGCTCACAGAAAAGGGCTCCGAGCCCCGTCTCGCGCACGCCCCTGGCGGGCGCCGCGGACCAGTTCCGCGACAGTTCCGCGAGCGCTCGTCAGCGGGTGGTGTGCGGCTCTTGCCGTAGTTCCTCTTCGGTCGCCCAGCCCCGGCGCCGTCTGTCGGACGCCTGCGTGTCACGAGTGCGAGCCGCTCGCGGTTCGTACGCCCGCTTGCGGGTTCGAGTGGCGGGCCATCCCACTTGCGGGATGGCTTAGCGGGTTCGAGCCGTCACACATTGGCTGCCGGGGTGTGCCGAGGGGGGGCTGGGTGGGCGGTAAGCCGTCATTGCCCGGCGCTGCTTGCAGCGCTCTGGGTGGTAGTGGCGCGGCGCTCCAAGACGGCAAGAGTGGCGCTCTTGGGAAGAGGTTCCTCCTTTCCGCTCCCCCCCCGCAAGGCGCGAGACACACACACTGCAGTGCAGCCACATCCTTCAGCCCGATTAATGGCTGCAATACACACACCAGGAATGCCCTCGATAATGTGGAGTATGAGCCTGTTGGCGTCACTGCCTCGGGAGCCCCTTACTACCGCGACTCGACGTCCTCGTACTACGTCTACTGGGACCACCCTGACTGCGATGGCGGCATCGGAGCGTCTGCCCGCTGGATCGTGGATGGCGCCGAACCGAGCACCACCGCCTGGAGCGACCTCGATGGCGACAGCACTTGCAACTACTACGCCCGCATTGACTCTGCCCCGACTCCTCCTCACCACCGATAGGCACAGCAAGTTGGACGGTGAATTGCGATGGCTCCTGGATTGTCAACACCTTGACGCTCTCAGGGCCACCACGACCGGCCCTGCCTCCGCCGCCCCCGCCTTCGCCATCACCTCCGCCTCCTCCGCCGTCGCCGTTACCCCCGCCGCCCCCGCCTTCGCCATCGCCCCCGCCGCCCCCGCCTTCGCCGTCACCCCCGCCGCCGCCGCCTCCGTCGCTCTCCCCACCGCCTCCGTCGCCCTCGCCTCCGTCTCCCTCACCTTCGCCGCCGCCGCCGCCGCCGCCGCCACCACCACCCTCGCCCTCGCCTCCCGCGCCTCCTTTGCCCCCACCGTCTCCATCGTCTCCGCCATCACTACCCTCACCACCTCGTGAACCCCCTTCAGCATCGCTATTGGGCTCCAACGAGGACAGCGACATGACGAGCGTTGTTGTGATCATCGCCGTCGTGGTCATCGTATTGCTGGTGCTCGTTGTCTTTCTCGCCTGCTACTACAAGATGAAGCTCCGCAAACAAGAGCATGCCGACGATGAGGCTGAACCCAAGGTGTGATAGCTGATACCCCGTGGTCCACCTCTGCCTTCTATATGGCGCCGCAAGATATCGGAGAGCCAAGAGACCGACCTCAAGAAGATGCCACACGCCGGGTCGTACGGCTTCATCCTACGGACTCTCCTCTCTATCTTCTGTATCGCTCCCGTGATCGTGATCGACGGCGGACTACGACTGGGCTCTCTCCGCGGCTCGAACTGCTCGAATACTTTTTATACATAAATTACGTTGGGAAAAGCGAGCGTTGAGGAAACTCAGTTTTTCCGAAGCTCGAGCACGCGCCCTGCGCGACCCCGCGACCACCAACAGAAGCTAGCCCGCCATATTTGGGCCGCGCGCGCGCAGCCGGATGCGGACAACGATGTCATCGAAATTTCATGGAAGCTGCTCAGAGGGAGTGCTTCAGAGAGAGAGAGATTTTAACCAGGCCACAGTCGCGCGAGGAAAGACGAACGGGCGGCGACAGTGCAACCGCACCCCATTCACCCTCCACACCTCAGCTCTCTCCGGCCGAGCTTGTCGGCCACCGCGCCCACGCGTGCAAGCTTTTTGGCGCTAGTGTGAGTGCCAATGGCGTGGTAGGCAAAGGAGTGGTTCGTCACGCGCACCGGATTCTCCCCCACCTGTCCGATGGAGATGCGGGTCCAGCGGAGGTCTGCCGCCGCGGCTCGAAGCAGCTGGCGCATGAGGGGCATGTCCTCCGGCTTGCGGCCCTGCCGGTACTCGTCGGACATTCGGTCGGCCCACCGCGCGAGGAACTGGCACACCGGCCGCGTGAGGCGCAGCAAATAGAAGCCGCTGTTCACGCCGCGCCAGCTGGCGCCATCGAGCGTCCCCGATATCGCAAGGTCAATCTCGGGAGGCAGCACTGCCTGCGCGAGCGCTGAGTAAGGCCGCAGCGCGACAACGTCGAGGTCGCTAAAGACGAGGACCGTGTCATTGGCGGTCGCGCCGCACTGCTCGCTGACGAGCCTCACCTTCTCGGGCAAGCTCGCGTACCACACCTTGCCACGAAAGTTGCCTGCGGACGGGCCAGCCTTTGCGAGCGGGTGCACGTGCCGCCGCAGGAGCACCTCGTACACAGCGCCGACGTCCTTGGCCATCATGCTCTCGATCCACTGCCACCAGCAGCGGGTCATGGACGCCTGCTCCGCCGTGGTGAGCGCCAGCACCCGAATCAACATATGCTGCAGCGGGATCAAGAACAAGTTGCGTGCGTCCAATCAAACTGAGCTCTCTTGAGAAGACGACGGGGGTAGCCCTCGACTGTACTGCCTGAGAGCCCACGACCGCTTGGCAGCCTGCGTGGAACATGTAATGACCAACATCCAAAGATTCACACGAGACCGTGCACCCATTTGAGCGAGGCCACGCAGATGCCGGCGGCATCATCGCCAGCGTCGCGTGCAAGCCACTTGCTGTGCTTTTTCTTGTTGCATGTTGGCTTTAAAAATCTCTATTACACTTACCGCTTGCGCAAGAGCTGACGTATCGGTCTCATACCGCTATAGCACCCACCTCGCGCTTTCTATGTGAGGGGCGCACGACACGCACCGACCGTTTCTCCGTAGAATTTCGCTGCACGCTGGGTGCTCTCTCGAGGTCTCTCCTCAAAACGAATCAGCAGCATCGAATGGTATCGCCACCTGGCGGGAACTCCCGAGAGGTGTTCGCAGGCGCGAACTCGGCCACACCTGCGGCGCACCCGATGCTCGCCTCCGACGCCCGGGCGCGGCTTCAGCGCGAGGTGCACGCGCTGGCGATGATGCCGGTCTCCGTGGCCTCGCTCAAGTTGAGCATCGGCCTGGGTTTTGAGCGATGCGGCACGCCGTGCAGCCTCCCGCCGACCAGTCCTCCTCCGTACAGTCCTCATCCCTGCCGCACGGGCGCTGCGGCGCAGCGCCAGAAGAAGGGTTTGCGCCTGCGTCAAAACTCCGAAGAACTGGAACTCAACGCAGTGGAGATTCTCAGCCGTGCATTCGAGTCCGGTGCGCCGCTGCACAAGGCGCCAAGGCCACGCCTGGACTACGTGCGTGGGCGTGGGACGCCAGAGCCGCTGTCGCTCCCCGCGCCCGTCCCCTCCTTCGAGGAATGAGACCGTGCCGCCACCGACCCGGTGCGCGCTGTCTAACTCCTGGGCGCTCTCACTTCTGCGCGTGACCCGCTTCCGCGCGGCGGCCCCTTGTAATCCTGCCACAGTTACCGTATCATTTGCCACCGTATCATTTGCCACCTCGCCTGTCTTGGAGCGCGAAGCTCACCAGCATGTGTCCTGTCTCGTGTGAAGCGTCTTTGTGGAGCCCTGTGTGTGGGCGTTGTCACCGTGACCCTGTCTGACGTGTGGAGCCTCAATGGCGACTCCCTCTCTCCTATGTCTTGTACTTGTTTTCCCGTGTCCATGTGTACCTTTGGCTACAGCTAAAAACTCAACTCACATCACGGCATGGTGTACACACAGAAAAGCCACAACATGAACGGACTCTATCGCGAACGCGCGCGCCGCCCGGAGAGAGAAGCCCCTTCAAGCCGAGAACGAGAAGCTACTACTGTTTCTCGAGCCCCGCGCCAGTACCGCCCTCTAGGAGCTCTCGGAACGCCGCGGCGTCAGCACTCGAAGCCAAAGATGCGCCTCAGCTCCGCCCTCCGCCCCACCTCGCCCGCCTCGTTGGCCTTGGCTAGCGACTCGCCCAGCCGGTGCTGCGTCGCGTACAGCTCCGCCGCGTGCCTCCGCGCCGCCTCCTCAAGCAGGGCCTGGTCGAGCGCGACGCCGCCGAGGCGGTACTCGCGGCCGGCGCCCGTGCCAAAGTCGCGGCCAATCGCCTCGGCGAGCGCCTTCGCGAGGCTGCGCAGGTGCGCGTCCAGCTCCGGCTGCAGCACCGGGGGGCGGCCCTCGCCTGGCCCAAAGGGAGGGAGGGAAGGGGGGGGGGGGGGGGGCTTTCCTCCTTTTTTCCCTCCCTCCCTGTGGTGTGCCTTTTTCCCCCCCTTTTTTTTTTTTTTTTTTGGTGGGGCGAGGCTTTTCCCGCCCCCCCTTTAGCCGTTCCCCGAACCAGTTTTTGCTTTTCCCCTTGCCGATGGCGTGCCCCCCTTACAGCGCGAGGACCCCCTCTTCGGGCGCGGGCAGCGGCCCTCCCCCGTGGGTCGCGGCTTTTTCGGAGCGGACGGCGGGCAGGAAGAGCCGTTCTCCACCCTTGGGAAAGGGGGGCGGGGGGAAGGGGTTTCCTTTCCCCTTTCCAACCCGGGGGCCGGGCCTGAAGGGCCGGGTTTTTTTTCCCCTCCCCCCCCCCCCC